TTGAGTAGAATTACATAAGTTGATTACAAGACCATGGACAAGTGTAGTTGTGTGAAAACCGTGACTTCATCTCTATAAGGATGAACTCTAGATCAGTTCGAAACATCAGCAAAAACTAAGTACACTTTGACAAGTCTGTAAATATTGTAAATAATTTGAGGCCGATATGAAAGCTTCAACAGATTCACATAGATGTTATTTATATAATTTACAACGATGAGATTAGACTTTATATCGAATTTTGCCTATCCGTTATTGGACTCTTGAACGTCCCCCACAAAGGTAATCATTTAATTCCTCCGAAACAACGTGGACTTCACCTGTGTACACCGAAACATATTTTTTTAATCACTAGGGTAAAATTTCATTCTGTAATTACCATCCACGTAAGAGGTGTCTACATTTAACTCTCTCTAATTTATGCTACGTTTCCGTTTTCACTACAGTGACGTTGTTTGGTATTAAATTACAACTACCGGCTTGGCGACCAAAAATAAAAAAAGGTTTTCTGAAACATAAAAAAAAAAAAAACGTTGCTACTCTCGAACTACGGTATACTTTTTGAAACTTAAAACCTATCTTTTGATTTTAAAGTATTTACCGTACTAAAAAGCAAACAAAATACCTCACGCGCCGCGTCGTTTATCCGTTGAAAGTTTTTATTTGACAACTCAATTTTTTTTCCCCTTTCTTTTGGCTCTTTTGTTATTCCGCGAAAGAGTGAGAAAATTATCTTTAATCTACAGTGTAAATCCTCTAAACGTTAAACGATAATCTTCACCAAAGTACTAACCAACGGCGTATTGGCCACGTACAAAACGTTCGATAAGGCCGATTGAGGATTTACTTCTTGCAAAAACCGCGCTTGAGACCTTTTAGAAAATTCAAATCATATTATAGTTTCCGCATCGAAAAGCAACGTCGTTTCGTTCATAATCACATTGAAACGATTGAATAATTCAATTTCGGCTTGTTCCCATCGTCTACCCCGTCTTACGCATTCCACACACTGATAAGAAAGTTCTGTCACAGTTCTGTAAGGAATGCATAGATTATCGTTCGGTCAGTATCCAGAAATATCGTAGTACTTTGTTACTTTGTTTTTTTTACTGAAATATGTACAGTAGAAAATACTTAAGAAACATAGCTGTTATACTAATATAGGCTATAACCATGGGTACTTACTTTGACTCTCGGGGGAAATTGTTGTGACTTGTAAACACATAGAAAAGTACAACGCACATTTTTTAACATTATCCCCTATGTCTTACGATTCTTTTGTGTAGAGGGATTTTCTCTGAATTTGTAAATAATAAAAACACCCATCATCATACCGTTGTTGTGTTGAAAATAGCAAAAGTATTTTCAAATATAAAAAACATAATTACTAAATACCTATTTAAACTATGTATAATACTAATTCGTTCTCATTATATGTTGGTTTTTATGTTTGTATCTTCTCGGCTGCGGTAAACCAAAGCCATTTTTCTAGCTGTACGTTTTAAAATAACGTTCAATCGGATAATATTCTAACGCAACGGTACTCAAATGTACATTGTAGGCGGACAAGATGGTATATAATTTCATAAGACAGTGACTTAAACGGTAAACCCTACCCTAAGCCTTTCAGGTTACAGCTAAATACGCTTCATGCGTTATGAGAACGTTTATATAATTAATGATCTAAAGTCTACTGGAGTTATGCTTACTTCGAGTTTTACAAACAAATGTTAATATATTTCGAAAAACCATTGCTATCCTTATTCAAAACATCTTTAAATGTAATGAAAATTTACCATGTCATGTAGGTAAAATTAAAATACATTGATATAGACTTCATACAATAAATCATATACATGATTATAAAGATAAGATCACGAATTTATCCTTTAAAAAATCTTATATTTTCATTCTATAGGACATCGCCCATAAAGATTAAAACATGTAGAATACACAATTTTCCCCCATTATTATTTAATTATAGTTTTATAGGTGACTGCTACGGTTGCTCGAGCTCATTGGTTCAATAAAATAGGGATATTAAATTAAACAGTACAACGGTAGAAACTGAAATTAATATGAAAATAATTTAATGATGTAAAGTAAATTTGATATAAAGGATTTTTGTTTTGTTTTGACACTTGAAAAAGTCCAATACTGTGCAAGCGTAAAAAGTACAGTCCCACTATGTAAATTAAATCTGACCACGTTCCACGAATAAGCAAACTAATTTTATGTAATGTTTCTAAAAAAAAAAACATGTTGGATAAAAACTTACGACGATAGTTTTTAAACTTGAAAGTAATGAACTGTAAAGTTTTCGTAGGTCTTAACTGGCACGTTAACAAGTCACCGTACAAGTTCTAAAATGCCCAGTTCTGAAATTTGTGCAATAAAAACCACAGGAAGTACCAAACTAACAACTTTGTTTTTATAATCAAAACCGTACACTCGTTTATAAAAAAAAAGTACAAATGTATATTTTGTCTTATAAGCTTTTAAGTTGAAGTCATTGGCATTTGAATAGGATAGACGTTATGGCTATTGCTAAATAATATACTATTCTAATTATGAAATAAATATTTTGTAATATACAAGTTAACAAATGTTAAGTTTTAGGGAAAATTTGCCTATACAATGCGCCTTAATAAATGGTAACTAGTGTATGCTGTAGAAGCTAGAAGGTTGGTCTTTTTTAGTATATGTGTAAATGTACACAGATTATAATTTTTTTTTCCAAGAAACTTATGTTCATTACTAAAAGTGAATGTAAATAAAACTAGTGCCCGTATGCTTGGAAAGTTTGTAATTAACTTGTGGGTTTTGGCGACTATCTATATTGTGTTTTTTTTTTTTTTTATCAACCAAAACCTGAATTTCACCATCTTGACAAACCGACCGACGGCTTAGATGAAGATGTAGAAAGTTTTATAAAAAACAAAAACCGTGGTATACCAAGGTATAATGGTGGCTCTAATTTACAACATGAACGTTTAATATTGGAGATACATCTAAACATAAAATATATGAAAACCCCTATATTTATTATTACACTGTTCTATTTGAATATTTGTAAAAATGCACATTGTCCACTCGACAAAAACGAAATCGCGATTTTGTTATTGTTTTCCCGTTTTGACGAACAATATGAATCACTTTGTAAAAAAAAAAAAAAGCGGGACCTGAAAGTGTATACATAGCTTTTGTCGTTTACATTCTTTTATCCGTTTTTTTTTACTCTTTTGTAGCGCTATCGTTGCCGGGGCTGTTGGTTGAGTAATTTGGTCGAAAAGAGATAAGCCACGGTACCCAATTGTAAGTATACAGTGATCATTTGCTTGCAAACGGCAAAAAATATAGAATAAAAAAATCAAAAAAAAAATCTTCACTCGTCAATGAGTTAAGTGCCTACTATTATTTTTTTTTTTATATTTCCTATTATCGTTATTATTGTTGGCGGCCTATTTTCTTTTTTTTTTTTAACAAATGAGAAAAATACAAGCACAAAAGACACGGACGACCAAACACCAAAAGGGTTTGTCGTCGCCACAAAAGGACAGTGTCCTAGGATTAAATTGAGTTTGTCCGCTAACATAATATCCAATGAATGATGACGTTTTTCCGGGCAGTTTTTCGTTTAGAAACCGCTCAGCATAATAATAATAATAATATCTAATAACTGTAAAGTAAGAAAAATCGTTGGTCTGGTCATCAGATGCGAACCGCCACCTCCACACCACAACAACGATAATATATAATAATTATGATTACTCAAACGGACAATTACAAATCAATTGTATTAAAATGGTATTTAATTTACAATAATAATTTTCAAACGTATATAATATCCGCACTTATAGCATCTAACCACTAGATAATTAAAAAGATGCCTACTTAAACAGAAATCTGTTAAACATAATCTCTAATCCTGGATTGTTATACAAATTAAAACATACTTTGTTTAAAACAACATAATATTATGTTCAGTTTTTTTTTCTTCTTTATTTTACATCCACGATCTATACAATTATAGTACAATAAGTATATATGATGGCACAGGTAAATTATAAACATTGAAAGTATGAAAAGAGAAGCCGTCCACTGACGACACTCTTATTAACTTCGTTTTATAATTAATTGATAGTGAGAAGGTCTCTGCACCACTTCCTTTTAAGTTTTTTTTATGTTCAGTATAATAAAATTATATAAAGTGTGAGTGAGTATGGGTACCTAGATTATAAAATGTATATGTGTTTACTATAATATAATTTATACATCATATAGTGATGTCTTCTTTTTACAATAATTATCATAAAATCGTAAATAATTGAGGTGTCTACATTTGAAAATCAACTAAAAGACATTTTAAAAAGGTGTTTTTTACACGGTGTTATACCTTAGTATGAAAGTAAAACACAAAAACGTAACACACGGTATGAAAAATTATTGTTGGATATCAAATAATAATTAAACTAACTCAAACTGTGTTGAGAAAATCTTGGTTGGTTTGAAATCGCCCGTTTGAAGAAATTATTTGTTGTTTGTAAACATTTTCAAAAAACATTTTTAGCCGGTTTTGAAATTAGACGAATACCTTGTCGACGATTATCGATGTACTGACTATTTGTAAACTGATTTTGATTTTTGGGGCTATAAGGTTTCAACTGACGTCCAATATTATGGTGTTTATTTCTCTGTATCATCCCGAATCCAGAACTATTAAGGTTTAAGGGTAGGTCGGTCTGTTATACGCTTGGTTGTGTAGAGATTTAAGCCTATTACATATTGTTATTACCTTTCACCGTGTAGATACATATTATTTTATACTCGTTTATGATGTAACTTTACTTCTCCCCTATCGTGTAACAAGTTTTGTATATTATTTTGTGAAAGGCGCTTTTTAACAGTTTAGGAATTTATTTCATTTATAACTAAATATATTATTGTCTTAATTATATTATTAAAAAACTATATTTCATAACAGCTGTTTAACACCGTACCTGGCCAACCGCATCTTAACCACCGAGGTGAAGGTGATTTCCTTTTAAATCGTATGGCCACAGCACGTGACGTGAGTACAGTTCGGCAAACGGACCGCAAAACAGACTACCGGATAAGCAAGACGGACGGGCGTCACTGCCGGGCACGGCCACCGGAATAACCATGTGCCGGCGACCGAGCGCCGCCTACGTGTAAATACACGCCCCTCGACGATAACTTCTTTACAGTCCACGTCGACTGTTCCCAATTTACAGCTACTCTTTTACAGTACACCTAGGTGATGATGTTTTAATTAAGGCGTCCAAAATAAAGTCGGCATATTATACGTTTTGGACTTTTTGGTAAAAGTTTTAAAATTATTCTTAAGTGGTTGAAGAAGGTGGTGTTGCTTTTTATATTAAAAAAAAAAATTATTTTTCGCTATTTGAACGAATTATTTACACAGTGAATTTTCCTAGGCGATATTTAAGACCCACATTGGGGCACATTGTGTCCTTACCATAGATACTAGGAGTAACTTGGAGTACCTAGGAGTACTTTATATGTACCATATAAGGCGTACCTTTTCACAAGACTTATTAGACAGTTTTACAGCTATGTCTATTGATATAAAGACAAACGTCATCGCTAAACGGTATTTTCCGTTAAAACTATATTACATACAATATAACGTTTATAAGTTATAGCTATTAACGATCATTTTTTTGGGGGATTTTTTTACAAATTGAACATAATTTCAAGTGTCTTTTCCCGATGGTGTTTAGAATTGTTCAAGTCATAAAATAAAATATTTGTATTTTCCCATCGCTGCCAACAAACGTTGAAGTGTGAACCTATAACGACGATCGATAATTTTATGAATGAATAAGTTTGGTATTTAAAAAATAAAAAATTATATTTCGATTTTTTTTTTAGCAAAAAATGATGCATATGTTTGTACCAGTTGACGGTAAGAGTAAATCTTTGGGCTGGTCGCCCTTGTCTTCTTATCTAAAAACAATCATCCATCTTATGTGCACCCAAAACTTTTTAATCCACGCCAGTTATTTAAAATCCTTCTCTTGATATATGTGTCGTTAAATGATCACGAACGGTTTTAAACCGGCGTTCATCCTTCTTCACCGGCATTACTCTTTTATTCACTTAGACAAAGATTTCTAGTTTTATACGCGTTGCATATTATGGTTATTCTTTAAAAAGAATGATTTTTTAAATGACAGTACAGACCTCACCCTCTTGACCTTGTACTATGTGTATGAGTATATTATAATTAACATAAGTTAATTAAAAATAAACTGAATGTTAACATTTTTTTTTTCTGTATAAAAAAAATAACACCCTCGCATAACCGAATTTGTGTTGTGTTGTAAATTGGAGAATACCCAAGGGCGGCACACTGGCTGTATTTACACTACAGAGAAAATAAGTTAGTGTAAACATTTTTATGATTAGTCTACAAACTCGAGTCGTATAATTCTTGGAGATATTATCATTTTAGTGCAATAAACGTTTTATTAAAATCTGTTGTTGTTGGAAATAATTTCTATGCAGTTTATTATGTCCTATACATATATATTATATATATGTCCTACACCGTTGACGGTTTGCAAGCGACCAATACAATAATAATTAAAGTTCTCCACGCGAGTATGGGGGTTAATTATTATTTTCGGCTATGCACAAATACAAAATATATTTTCGGTCGCATTCTCAATTTGTGAATGTGGAAATGATGTGCTGTAAAACTACCCGGCAGTATACACTATACTTACCCCTCTATCAAATTCCAGCGTTGCTCGCGCGTTTACAATGAAAAATTGGACTTTTGGGTGTACTATACAGTGAAAGTTTTCCTCTTATCATGTAAATCGACTAAGTTTCACCCTGCGCGTCCAAGAAGTATTCCTCATTAATTCGTACCAGAACGATTTTGCACACCACACTTAATGGCGGAATACCTACTATTGTTGTAATATAAATTAAAATTAAACGCATACGGATTACACGATACCTAATTGTTCTTGCAAACAGATGGATTTTCTCTATTTCAAAAATTGTTTGTACTCAAACTACTTTCTTACGTGTCTTGGACTATTACTGTTTATTTGTAACAATAACGTCCGATAAGTATCGGGGGGGGGGGGGGTACGGGGTTAATAATACTCTAATGGGTATATGTATTGTAAATTAGTGTAGAGTATACTTTTTGTTGTCGCGCAATGTTGTATAGTGTAATAGCCCTAATGCTACACTAGGTATATGTATAAGTTACGGATAATATGACAAAAAAATAACCAACCGTTTTGTAGTATCGTTCCACCGCCGCCGCTACTAAATAATGTCAAGTACTAGAAATCTATAATATGTACATTGTGCCGATGTGTCGATAAGTGGTTAAAAGCTTTTGATCATTTTAACGATAGCCGGATTTAGGTAAATGCATTTGCCGATATGTATATGCGTATTTACATTGTACACGTTATACTTAGGTATATATATACGTATAATTGTGTGTGTGTTTGCCGTTGCTCCGTTTCCACACGATTTGCACGAAAATATCAATCGAGCGCCATCGTTGACCGAGAATAGGCCTAAGTCCACTATTTGCCGACAAGGGCCCCAGGACAGGGTGCCCGAATCGAAGGGTGCGCTGCTATATTATACCACACACGACCCTTCGTGCGATCCCGGCCATTTGGACGTTTTAAATACAGTCGTTGTGTAATTATTATTATATATCTATCCATAGCCTTTGAGTGCGTGTGGTATATAAAATGTTTGCATTGTAAACAAACGGTCGTAATGGATTTCTATCGGCCGTGGCACGATAAACGCGCCGTATCATAAACGAAAGTGTTGTAAAAATCTCATAAATATTATTATTATTGTCATTACTGTTATATAGTATTATTATTGTTACGAGGTAAACAAAAAAAAATGCCACTCCGATGAAATGTGATTATCAAAATATTTATGTGGTGACTTATTTTATACCGTTGTTGTTATCGTTATATAGATTGACGTTTGGCGGCCACTCGCTATAAAATAATATTAAAAGTAAATAAAAATTGGCAAAAATACCCCAATACGAGCAAATAATGTTGTGGAGACTATAAAAAAAAAACCTTCAACCGTCGCATTTGATTTAAAATTACACACACAAGTCGATTCCTCAATAAATCCGAATAATTATAATTTACCAACAACAATAATAATAACATTACTGTTGATACAGAAACTTTACTTGTTATGGTACTTTTGTTTTGGAACTCACGTGTAAAGAAAAAAAGTAATATTGATTTTACTTTTTATTAAGAAGTTTTTTTTTTTTTTGTAGCTGTGTCTAAACGACTACTCAAGAACCACTCGACCGAATCATTCGCTTCAACCAAACGGTTTCCCTGTTTAAGTTATTACTTTAAGTGTGAACTTAAAGAGCCCTTTCCTAGTACGCCTATTTCCACAAAATCAAGATAAAACCCCAATGATTAAATAGGTTTTATAAAATTGTAAACGCTGTAACCCGAATAAATGTCAATATATTCTTTTTAGTTAATAATAAAAATAATAAAAATTGTGACTGAATTTGGTATTGTTTTACTAGTAATTGATAAAAACAGTAGTGTTTTTAAATACTTTCAATGTTAATTTATATTTCACTAGTTTTGTTACTACAATGTTTTGCCACACAATTACATCACACTGAAATGGTTGTACCCAAATACAAGCTATTTTCCCAATTAAAAGGTTTTTTGTTGTTTTTGTATTTTAACATAATATTTATTACTACGAGAAAATGTTCTTTGGGATTAAACAGGAACTCGTGTTTTGAATGTAAAACGAAAAAAAAAACTGTAGTCGCCATTATTTATGTTAACGGATAAAAAATTAACAAACAACAACAATATACACTAAAAATATTTATTTAGAAGTAAACATATTTCCAAATATCAAAAGAGCCAACCAGTTCAACATAGAGCGAATAAAATATGTAAGTGTTCATTTAGTTTTTTTATTTTTTTTTTTTTTTTTGTACAGCATTATAGCACGAAACTGTTTATGCTGGTAAAATGTTTTATAACGTGACCGCGGGTCTTTTATTCTTGTTAACGATAAGTTTACTCGCATCGTACTCACATCAGGTTTTGTCGAACAACATTGGACTCATCAGCCTTCTAAATAGACTTCTAAAAAATGCTGGATGGGGTCGGCTCAATCACGTGGAAGTCAAATATCTCGACAATACCCACGGTCAGTCTTCTTTTTCGGGAATAGATCTATTTATACCCCCCTCTGAAGAGCCCAATCGATTTTCTGTCACTGGAGAACACGTCGAAGAAAAATACTTGATGACCACCAAGCTGATAGAATACAATACAAATACAATACAAGGTGAAACAATCAACCAGCCCCTTGCTGTAAATCGATACTTTGAGGATAAAACTACAATTTAATTATTTGAATGTTTTTTTGTTTTTGAATAAAAGCTGGATATTACAATAAAATATATAATTTGGCTACCTTCATTTTTTTTTTAATTAAGACCTTAATTAAGAATTTAAAAACAAACCCTACGCATTTTTAACGAATTTTACTTATAATCTAAAAGAATAACAAAATTATAAATCTAAAAAAAAAAATGTAGTATAGGTAATGTCATTATTAGCTAGATAACTTTATTTTCCCAACGGAAAGCATATTGTATGAAAATCCAGGTTGTTTAAATTTAATGGCACACACGGATTTGATACAAATGGATATCATAATAATATATTATTGCACATGCACAAAAATAGACAATCGAAAAACGCGCCTTTGATAAACTACTATGTAATGAAAACACTGACTGTAACATGCTGCACTCCGATTAATTTCACTATACATTGTGCACGAACACCCAATGCGTTTAAGCATTATGCACGAGCACCGAGTAACACGTGTTTTTAACTGAGCCGGGATGACAAATTAAATCACCAGCGTTCACAATCCCTAAAAATGTCCTAACACAATTTCCACAACGATTGTTCAAAATTAAACCGTAAAATGAAACGTGCACCCGTGGAAATATTATTATAACAATATATAAGATCACATACGATAATTTTTTTTTTGGGATTTTTTAAA